CTTGCGCGGCAAGCAGACTGGAGCGAGCTTTTGTAACTCGCCCACTCACCCCGATCGTCTGCCGTGACGCCAGTGGTCCTCAATCGCCGTGCGGCACCCTCGGCGCCGGTTCACCCCGGTGCTCATCAGCGCTGGTGGTGGTGGTGGCAGCTGAAGTGTGGCTTCATTCGTTCTTCAACTGTCCCCCGTCGAAGTTTTTTTGAAGCTCGGTTTTAACAAAGGAGGAATCGACGGCAGCGTCCACGCAAGCGACACGTTCATAACAAAAAAGTCGACTTGTAAATGCGTTCGTATTTTCCTGTCCGGTTCTAAAAATGTTGGGGGATTTATTTCCAACCTTTTTTTACTCCTGATACGTTTTAATTAAATCACCGACTCGCTGGGTTTTTTTGTTGGTTTGACGAAAGCGTTTTATTTGTAACACGGCGAGCCCGTGCCGCGTTACCCGGTGATAACCTTCACTTGAAGTTGTTCTACGGTTGAAATGCCTAACGAGGATTTCCCTTCAATTCGATATCTTCCAAAATAATGTCATATTTATTTGTGAAACACACTGCCTCACGGATTTTTTTTTACATTAATCATGATTTCTTGTTTTTATTTTTTGTTCTGACTGAATTGCATGAGACAAGAAAAAACTGAATTCAATTATCGTTTATCATTCCAGAATGAATATAACCATTCTAGTCCTTGACCTTTTCCCTCATCCTTTTTTACGAATCGAACAATGAATGTCACGGATCTCAATGCGTGTGGGGGGCCCTGCGTACTGCGCGACACGTGCCTGCTTGTTAGTGTATTCTCTTACGCCCGAACACCCCAATGCCTGTACAAAAGTACATTCGTACGCCCGTAAGCTCGTACGCTCGTACGTCCGTACGCCGAGGACGGCCTCACCAAGTCCTGCCAAGTTTTTTCGCACTAGGGGGGAGATGTCACCGCTGTGTGGTTGTCCCAGTTGAGTAATTTAGCAGGTAGTTTTTCAGCGTTGTTGCCTTTGTTCCGGTCCAGTGACCCATCATGGTGTTTATCTGCATGGCAGAGCATGGCATTGACGGCCTAACAAGGCCCACTCGGATGGTGAGCCCAATCATTAATTAATCGATTTCCTCTAACGATTATCGATTCGATTACACGACTAATTGTACAACACGAAAACACTTTCGGTGGATGCATTTTTTTCCCCCCTCGTGTGTCGCCGGACGGGAGGTGACGACCAGGGCTCGGTGACGGCATCGGCCGCGTCACGTCGGGCACGGCCTGTCCCCGGGGTGTGGTTTCCCACCTTCGCGAGGCCGCCCCGATCTATCTTACATGGGCCGGAATAATCGGTTGTAAAAAACAAACCGCAATTGTTACAATTTGTAGATGGACGTAATGAATGATCTCCTAACAGGATGCACGGCTGTGCATCGATGCCTCTGAGGCCTCCTGGGGCAACAGACGTGTGCGCGTGGAGCAGCCGCTTTTTTTTATTCGGTAAAATTTTAATCGCAGCAACAGCCAGAGGCTTGGTGTGGCTGGAACGCATCGTCCGTACACCTCCATTTAAGGACCGAAGCATGAGGATGAATTCTTCACAATTCTAAGGCTGGTTGTTTTAACTACTGGCAAAATGTCACGGTACTCGAATTATAAATGTTGGAGGTTCAGTCTCCAACACACCGGTGTACAGTCTGTTTACATGACAAACCTTAACGACACATTTATATTTACACGATCTAACCTAAAAAAACCTCATATCTATACACCGCGTATAAAGTGGGCATTCATATTTATTAAAACCCCCGTGTGCCAAGCGGTTAAAGCCTTGGCTAAGTAGTGTCCACGGTAATATCCTGCATGCATTAAGATCAGACTCAGAATCTTTAGTTAGACTGGAGAAATCCGATGAGCTATGAAGCTCTTTTTCACAGATGTCCAGCAAGGGGCACGGGGTAAGAACGTTACAACAATAAAAAAACGATATGAGTGCCAAGTGTATGAAAGGTAATCAAATCACTGAAAATAAATTGGTGCATTTTATAAGTTCAAATTCCAAGCTTTGCCGGTAATTACAACAACCAGCATCATCAGGTGACAGCCAGAATTAGGAAAGGCAGCAAAATAACAGCAAAGACAGTCCAGGACCATAGCAAGACAACAACAACACACAGTCCTTCAATAAAAATTGCACTTTAACATTGATGTTACACACCCTCGCCCCTACCCCCTCCCACCGGTAGCCACTGCAAGAGCGAGTTCTCTCTCTCTGTGTCTCAGTCTTTGTGATGGAACAGGCGCAATCGACCGGCTCGTTCACACGCGGGATCTCGGAAGCGAAGCCTGGTTCGTGGTTGGTTGAACGGCCACCAATTTATAACAGATGTTATAGCCTGCGGCGTGGCTATGTGGTCATAAGCGATCTAACGTTTATGCTTCCGCCTTCACCAATCCACGGTGAATAGCACGGCGAAGTCTGGTAACACAACCCCCGTGCTGACACGGTGTGTGTGGGGAGACCTTGTCCAGCAGCGGACTGACAAAAAGGCTGAACACTCTCGTTAGAAACTAGTGCTGTGACCAGATGTATTGTACATATCACCACGTGTATCCTTTGTTATAGACATTGGCCAGGTATATTATAGAATTGGTTAAATATGCACGATGCATGGTGGTAAATCGGAACGTGACCCCGATGATCCATTACAGCCCCGGTCCAAACAAGGTCAAAGTGTCCATTGGGTGCGTCTCACCTCTCTTGATGGTTCCGAGCCAGTGAGGGAAATTCCACAATGCCATGGTGAGGGCCAGTATCATTGTCATCCCATTTTTCGAATCGATCAATAATTTCAGGCATTCTGGCCACTTTAACGAATCTACGCAGTTCATCAAAGTGATGTTAATGCCACTGTGAGAAATGGAAACGAGATAATAATAAAAAAAATCTCGTGTTTTAGACGTTTTGGGAAGTGTAGGGTGGATTTCATATAAAGAGGCTTGTCCCCACAATCAGAATGTGGCTACTGGGCAGAGCACGATCCCATGGGCGTGTGAGCAAGGAAGCACGGTGACTTGACTTCATAATCGTGAGTTAATGAGCACAAACAAACATGGCGGCCCCGTGTTGGTCCTTAAGTGGGAAAAAAAAACCACAGCGACGTCGCTCCCTGCTGGCAGAGCGGAGCCACACGCACGCCTCGTGCCTCGCGTAGGGATGCCTCCCACTGGCGGTCCCCTAGGCTACACCGCCGCGGGGCGAGGGGGGAACGGTCGAGATGAGGTGTGATGTTGCCCGGCGCTCTGAGATGCTGAGGCATTTACAGTGAGGGAAAAAAGTATTTGATCCCCTGCTGATTTTGTACGTTTGGCCACTGACAAAGAAATTATCAGTCTATAATTTTAATGGTAGGTTTATTTGAACAGTGAGAGACAGAATAACAATAACAAAATCCAGAAAAGCGCATGTCAAAAATGTTATCAATTGATTCGCATTTTAATGAGGGAAATAAGTATTTGACCCCTCTGCAAAACATGACTTAGTACTTGGTGACAAAACCCTTGTTGGCAATCACAGAGGTCAGACGTTTCTTGTAGTTGGCCACCAGGTTTGCACACATCTCAGGAGGGATTTTGTCCCACTCCTCTTTGCAGATCTTCTCCAAGTCATTAAGGTTTCGAGGCTGACGTTTGGCAATTCGAACCTTTAGCTCCCTCCACAGATTTTCTATGGGATTAAGGTCTGGAGACTGGATAGGCCACTCCAGGACCTTAATGTGCTTCTTGTTGAGCCACTCCTTTGTTGCCTTGGCCGTGTGTTTTGGGTCATTGTCATGCTGGAAAACCCATCCACGACCCATTTTCAATGCCTTGGCTGAGGGAAGGAGGTTCTCACCCAAGATTTGACGGTACATGGCGTCGTCCATCGTCCCGTTGATGCGGTGAAGTTGTCCTGTCCCCTTAGCAGAAAAACACCCCGCAAAGCATAATGTTTCCACCTCCATGTTTGACGGTGGGGATGGTGTTCTTGGGGTCATAGGCAGCATTCCTCCTCCTCCAAACACGGCGAGTTGAGTTGATGCCAAAGAGCTCCATTTTGGTCTCATCTGACCACAACACTTTCACCCAGTTGTCCTCTGAATCATTCAGATGTTCATTGGCAAAGTTCAGACGGGCATGTATATGTGCTTTATTGAGCAGGGGAACCTTGCGGGCGCTGCAGGATTTCAGTCCTTCACGGCGTAGTGTGTTACCAATTGTTTTCTTGGTGACTATGGTCCCAGCTGCCTTGAGATCATTGACAAGATCCTCCCGTGTAGTTCTGGGCTGATTCCTCACCGTTCTCATGATCATTGCAACTCCACGAGGTGAGATCTTGCATGGAGCCCCAGGCCGAGGGAGATTGACAGTTCTTTTGTGTTTCTTCCATTTGCGAATAATCGCACCAACTGTTGTCACCTTCTCACCAAGCTGCTTGGCAATGGTCTTGTAGCCCATTCCAGCCTTTTGTAGGTCTACAATCTTGTCCCTGACATCCTTGGAGAGCTCTTTGGTCTTGGCCATGGTGGAGAGTTTGGAATCTGATTGATTGATTGCTTCTGTGGACAGGTGTCTTTTATACAGGTAACAAGCTGAGATTAGGAGCACTCCCTTTAAGAGTGTGCTCCTAATCTCAGCTCGTTACCTGTATAAAAGACACCTGGGAGCCAGAAATCTTTCTGATTGAGAGGGGGTCAAAACTTATTTCCCTCATTAAAATGCAAATCAATTTATAACATTTTTGACATGCGTTTTTCTGGATTTTGTTGTTGTTATTCTGTCTCTCACTGTTCAATTAAACCTACCATTAAAATTATAGACTGATCATTTCTTTGTCAGTGGGCAAACGTACAAAATCAGCAGGGGATCAAATACTTTTTTCCCTCACTGTAAGCCTTGCGCCCTGTGAATACAAACCCTTACATTGCGTTTTCTCTGCACGCCCTGAACAATGTCTGATCGACTGGTTTGTTATTTTCCAGCAGCTGGAAGGAGAGGATATCCCAAAGGAGCGAGTGCAGGCGGGGAAGGCTGCCGGGTGCACGATGAACCCGCAGCTCACTCGCCAATCTGCCTCACGTTCTGCAGCAGCAGTGGCAGCAGAAGCAGCAGCATCGCCATCCCACATTTAGTCACCCCCGGTTTGGCACAGCCCCCGTGTCTCCCAGAGCACTACCTCCGTGTTGACGAGTCTCTGGTGGACGCAGAAAGCCAGGAAGTGACCTCCAATTGAACAGCAGCGGCGTTACCTCCACCGGCACCGGCGCCGAATCGGCATTCTCGTCGCGTGACATTTCGAGTTTGGACGAGCGAGCGGAGGAGAGCGGCATGGGCTGCACGCTCCACGGGAGAGGTCCGCATTGATTGGACGGCAGCCATCGCCACGCTGCTGCGCCATCGCGGGTCCCCGTAGTGAACGAGCCGCCTCGCGGCTGCCTCGCTCCGCGCCGCTGCAGCAGCTGCAGCGGCTGCAGCGCGACCGGGTACCGGCCCCACAACACAGAAAGACTACGGCGGCGGCCCTTGGCTCGCCCAGGCTTCTTCACCCCATGGGCAGCGTCGTACCGGTGTCTTCCTCATTCAGAACAACGGGTTTATGTACATTTTATGGATGATTTGAAGATGGACAAAAGGAGGTAAGGACATAAGAATTAAAACTTAGACCGGGCATTTGAGCAAACAGAACTAAAATCTTGACTTAAAGCTTTCGTGACTGCAGGAATTCATATTCTTTGGGTCTTTTGGTAAAGTCACATAGATAGGTTTGTTATTTTCTTTGAACCTATCTACGTGACTTTACAGACAGAAAGAGCCGTTTTTTAAAATACAGATTCTGAAGGTGTGCGGTGAGTGGCCGTGGTACGAATCCTAACGCTGGGGCGTGAGATCCCCGGGGCGAAGTCGGCGGAGTCGAGGCATTTGGGCGGCCCGGCCGAGGAGCGGAGACAACGAGGAGAGTGATTGGCGGGTGGGAGAGAGAGGAGGATCGCGAGGCGCCTTTGGATTCGGTCGCCTTCGAGCACCTTCATCAGAAACGGCGACAAAGTTCACATAGACGCCTTGAAACAGGGACGGATATAGAGGGGGGGGGGGGGTTGCGGACGAGGAGGACTGAGGAGCCCGCGGAACGCCACACGAGGAGCGGCCGTGACGGACGTGCGCAGCCATGTCCGGCGAGGAGGAGACCGTGGACCTGAGCTTCCTCACCGAGATGGAGAAGGAATCCATCCTGGGCGTGCTGCAGAGGGACAAGACGCTGAGGGAGATGGAGGCGCAGAGGGTTCGGTGAGTCGACCTGATTTGCGTGATTCGCTGAGATCGTCGTTGTGTGCTCGCGTTTTTTTTTTCCGTTTCATTAAAATAGTTAATCTGGAACGTCCCTTGAGATGAACTTCCCGTTTACCAGAGGCGTCCAGAGAGCACCGGGGTACCCTCAGAGCCCTGTGATCGTGACCGCCAAAGCACATGCAGGGCATCCAGTTTTGATATGCCTGGGAAGCCATCACGGTAGAGCCACACAGCGGTAGAGCCACGGCGGTCACCGTGCTCACGCAGGTCGTCATCGGGCTTGTGGAGCTACGTGGCGGGTAGCAGAGGGCAGTGCAGGAAAAATGCGTTGCTGTACTGTGCTCCAACATCTACGCTTCCTGCCTTTAGCCACCGGCATTGGCCAGCGCGGAGGGGCGTGGTTAAATAATTCCCAGGAGCCCGCACGGCATGAGGGGAGCGCTTTGTAAGCGGCCCACGAGGGAGCTGTCCACACTCGGGGGGCGCCCCTATCACGTCCACGAATTGATTCTTGTTGTCTCATTTGCTCCATGCATTTCCCCGTTTCTGCCATTAGCCGAGAGGCAGCATTTGCATATAATAATTTCGTATAAACTGTTAATGATCGTTTCTCATTCTGACGCTTGTGAGCATAACACGGTCAATTTGTTTTGCTGATGGGGAAACGTTTTTGCATTGCCTCTGCCAGTCCAAGTCCCAGAGCAGAAAGCAGCATCAAAGCGTTTAAGTGATAAACATTTCTCGGTGTGACCGAAAAATAAAACCCCTTAAATTTTTAACGGCGCTTTAAACCCGCTCCGCTCATTTGCAAGGGCTCTCTCCTCACATGAAGAGCAATTCACTATTATTGACCATCTCGAGGTGTCCAGGCGGCTGCGGTGTTGCCACCTCGCGTGGCACTCACTCGAGAAATTCCTGCTCTGAGGCCTTGTGGCGTGATCCTCTCTCTCCATATTAATGATGTCTCTCTTCCCATTTTCACAGATTGGAAAAGCCGCAATCACCCGACGGAGCATAAAACTAACACTCAAGGGACACGCCGCACAACAATAACGATGATTATAATAATTGTATATATTTTTGCAGCGAGGCGTAATAACAAGCGGCGCTTCACAGACACACGGACCGGATACCTCTGCGGTGTAGAATGGAGACTTTGACCATCCCCAAATACGAATCTCTTGAGAATGCTGCTGCGCTAGCTTGAGACACGAACCCACCGTGTTGCCGACGCTCCATCCGCTCCGCGGCTCCATCTCCGCACGACCCACTTACCCCGCCCCCCCAACCCACAGCTTGGTGCCCATCGCTCTCACCCCCTGCGCCGCTCATCGCGACGCGTCCCGCTCGGCCACGGGCGGCCCCCGGGTGCCACGGCGGTCTCCGTGACCGCCGCCCGCGTCCTCGGACCCGTCCGGTGCCGTTCTCTCAGAGCCGTGAGGCTGTCGGTGCAGCGGCCCTCGCCCCGCTCGAAGCATCCGCGGCACCGCGCGGCTCGTCGAATCAGGACCGCCGCAGTGGCGAGGTGTTAGCTAGCTCACCTGGTATGCAGGAGGAGGGAGTGGCTTCGATCCCGACCCTGACGCTTGCTGTAGATTTGGAGTTTGCGTGTCTCTCTCCCTGTGGTCGCGTGGATTTTTCTCCGGGTCCTCCGGTTTCTCTCCTCTACATTTAGAAACAACATCACACGTAAATTTCCACTTCGTTAGGCTCTCATTTGTGGCCAGGTCGTTTCTGAAAAAGAGCTGTATAGCTCAGTGGTCCTTACCTGGTAAAAATATATATTAATAATAAAGATTTAAAAAATTTAAACGTAGCACGGTTTCACCCTGGTCTTGCACTCCTCCCACCTTTTCCCGTCCACTCTGACCGGCGTGGTGAACCGTGGTGAACATATCCCGCAGAAGTCGCTCGGTCCTTGTTACGGAGCGGATGGACCAGCGGCGCGTCGTACGTGCGCCCCGGCCTAGTTAGGATGCTCACGTGTGGCGCGGTTCACGACGATCAGCTGTGACGGCCGCCCTCAGAGTACAACCTTCGTCAGCCGCCCTCGCAGCGTTAACAATGAGCAAGGGGGGCGGTGACGCGGCTCAGCGGTGGCCCAGAGCTCTCCGCTTGTCACAGACGTTCGCGGTTTGCATCCGGCAGGCCGCGCCTGGTTATTACTACGGCGGTGGGCGCGGCGGTATCAACCGTGAAGTACCACACCGTTGTGTGTGCTGGCGTCAAGATCCGTATTGGCCAAGTACTAGGATTTACACCGCCAGTTACTCAATTTGGGATCACACAGCGATATTGTCCCCAACTGCAAAACTCCTGCGGGCTGCGTGTGTGAGACACTGCGACCTCGTGACGATAGCCCCGCGCTATTACTGTATCGTCCTATCAGCTTGTCAGGGAATGGGTTCGGCAGATGAATGAGTGAAACACTTTTGCGGTAGATTGTACGCGGAAACAAAGTATCCATTCTGAACCTTCGCAGCAAGCAGTGCATCACCCCGCGTTAAGCAACGGAAATTGCGGAAGGCGATATCCAGCACCCCCAGAATCCACACATTCGGGGGCGCTGGACTTTCTCAGAGAGCCCTGCTCCACGTGAAATGTTCATTACACGGCAGTTCCCCAAATAATATTCATCTCTTGCAGCTGGAACATAGCTACTTCAAGTGAAATCCCGAGTCCATACAACGGGGTCATTGGTGATGGAGCCGCGACCATCAACTCGCCGCACTTGGGAACACAGTTAGTTGAAGGTCGTGCCACGGGCCGGAGGCCACGTTCAATCCCAGGATTGTGGATCGCTACCCTGACGCGCTTTAGTAAAAAAACAAATAGTTGCTGACCACAGGCCAAAAATTGTCGAGCGGCCGGCAACGAGCAACACTGAGCCACGTCGTCCCCCTGCGCTCCCCTCCCTCCCTGCTCTCGCTCGCTCGCGATCCCAGGCGGCTGCGTCGCGAGCTCGAGCGCCTGCGCGAGAAGGGAGCGGCCCGGGGTCAGGGCCGCGGCCAGCAGGCCCTGGTGGCTGTGCAGTCCGCAGGCGAGGGCGTCCCCCACGGGAGCTGCGCGCGATGCCTGCAGCCCTTGGGCTGGGCCTGGCTGGCCGGTGGGGACCTGTGCCCCGCGTGCCTGCAGCGCGTGTGCCGCGCGTGCCGGGTGCCCGCCAAGGGGGGGGGCGGCAGTGCGCGCGCGGGAGGCGGCGAGTGGCAGTGCGAGGCATGCCACCGTGAGGCGTAAGCAGCCGGAGGCCCCCACTCTACCCCTCTCCTCTCTGTCGTGACGTGGCTGTACTGCTAATCCCAGCATGCTCCGCGTGTTGTGACGTCTTCCAGCATGCACCGCGTGACGTGGCTGTACTGCTAGTCGCAGCATGCAACGCGTCTTGTGACGTCTCCCAGCATGCACCACGTGACGTGGCTGTACTGCTAGTCGCAGCATACGCCGCATGTTGTGACGTCTCCCAGCATGCACCACGTTTCGTGTCATGGCTGTAGTGCGGGCTCCCAGTATGCACTGCGTGTCGTGATGTGGCTATACTGCTAGTCCCAGCATGCACCGCGTGTTGTGACGTGGCTTTATTGCTAGTCTCAGCATGCAGCGTGTGTTGTGACGTGGCTGTAGTGCCGGCTCCCAGCATGCACCGCATTATTGTGATGTGCGTGTACTGCCGGTTCTGAGCATTTATTGCGTGTTGTTACGTGACTGTAGTGCTGGCTCCGAACATGCACCGTGTGTTAACATAGCTGTAGCGCTAGTCCCAGCATGCACCACATGTTTTAACATGGCTGTAATTCTAGCTCCCAGCATGCACTGCTTTTTTGTGACATGGCTGTCGTGCGGGTTCCCAGCAAGCACCGCGTGTTGTGACGCGGCTGTACTGCTAGTCCCAGCATGCACCGCGTGTTGTGACGTGGATGTAGTGCTGGCTCCCAGCATGCACCGCGTGTTGTGACGCGGCTGTACTGCTAGTCCCAGCATGCACCGCGTGTTGTGACGTGGATGTAGTGCTGGCTCCCAGCATGCACCGCGTGTTGTGACGCGGCTGTACTGCTAGTCCCAGCATGCACCGCGTGTCGTTACGTGGATGTAGTGTTAGTTCCAGGTTGCTTGTGTTGAACCAATGCTGCTGAAATGCTGCGCACCCAAAAGGCTGTGTGGCTGATGGGATGTGTATGAAAATACTTTTTCATTTGTAGAGAGACAGATATGGGAAGTAGGCGTGTTTGTGAGCTCATTCATCTAGTTCATCAGAATGGTCTGGGTAGATTATTACCTCTGTTTAGCACGGTTGGCTATGTACGGTGAAAAATAATATTGAAACTGGATCTTGCAAAATCCACTAAATCTGAATTCGAATCTAAACAGAGTGGGCCTCGTGCCACACTTTCTAGAATACCAGTTTTCCTGTAATGTAATCACACTCAGTGGTGGGAACTTGATGGTAGTGGTGGTGCCCGCCGTGGAACCTCTCCGTGCTGTGGGGTCACGCTCACTGCCTTTTAGAGTATTTGGCTTCTATAAATTGATACGCCACGTTGTTGGACTATCATTTTTGATAGCCGGGTCGCTTCTGCGTTTCACAACGTACACAAACGCGTAGGCTTTCACGACCAATATCCAATTAGTAATGTTTTTCATGTTAAAAAAACGTGCCAATTAGTTACTACTTCAGCACACCGGTGTGTTAGAGAGTAAACGCCCTACATAAAAATTCGAGTACTGTGACGTTCCATTGGTGATTACAACCAGCTTCAGAATCTTGACTTAAAACTTTCGTGACTGCAGGAATTCATTTTCTTGGGTCTTTTGGTAAAGTCACGTAGATAGGTTCAAAGAAAATAATAAATAACTACGACATTTCAATCGCAACACAAGCAATCATCATCAGGAAAAAAAGCGGGAAAGCTGCTGAGGCAGGATATTTTAAAGGTTTGAAATGGGTGTAGCCCAAGGGTCATAAGCGAAGTGGGCGGGGCTAGTGATGTTAAAGTGAGAAACTTGCATGTCAATGTAAGATCGCAGAGCCACTGCCACATCGAGGAAAACGAGCAACGGTGGCCGTGTTAGTGAGACATTTAACCTGTTAATGTAAAGCCAGAGATTCTAAAATAACTACTAACATCGGAAGGTAGGATGGAAACATCACAAGCCAGCTATGACTTAAACTGGTTAATAACGTCCTTCCAATGATTGCTCAGTTTGTACCCATCTTCTCGGTTGAAATTGTGTCTATATATATATGGATGGCTTCATGAACGAATCTTTGTTGCTAGCCAGTGGGCTTGCAAAGTACCTTTGTTTTACAGAAATCAATTTCGCGTGAGCCCACCGCATTAAAACAATGATCAGCCACGGCCCGAGGTATTGGTCCTACCGTGTTTCAGATCTGCCTTATGTTCACGAACACGGTCCAAGACATGTCACTTAGTTTCCCCAATGTAACTACTGCTGCAGACACAGCTTAGTTTGTAGACGCCGGGGTATTGCATATCAGGGATCAGATCCTTCACAGATGGGATCAGATCACGAATTTTATGTACAGTGAGGGAAAAAAGGATATGATCCCCTGCTGATTTTGTACGTTTGCCCACTGACAAAGAAATGATCAGTCTATAATTTTAATGGTAGGTTTATTTGAACAGTGAGAGACAGAATAACAACAAAAAAATCCAGAAAAACGCATGTCAAAAATGTTATAAATTGATTTGCATTTTAACGAGGGAAATAAGTATTTGACCCCCTCTCAATCAGAAAGATTTCTGGCTCCCAGGTGTCTTCTATACAGGTAACGAGCTGAGATTAGGAGCACACTCTTAAAGGGAGTGATCCAAATCTCAGGTTGTTTATGTACATTGAGGGAAATAAGTATTTGACCCCTCTGCAAAACATGACTTAGTACTTGGTGGCAAAACCCTTGTTGGCAATCACAGAGGTCAGACGTTTCTTGTAGTTGGCCACCAGGTTTGCACACATCTCAGGAGGGATTTTGTCCCACTCCTCTTTGCAGATCTTCTCCAAGTCATTAAGGTTTCGAGGCTGACGTTTGGCAACTCGAACCTTCAGCTCCCTCCACAGATTTTCTATGGAATTAAGGTCTGGAGACTGGCTAGGCCACTGCAGGACCTTAATGTGCTTCTTGTTGAGCCACTCCTTTGTTGCCTTGGCCGTGTGTTTTGGGTCATTGTCATGCTGGAATACCCATCCACGACCCATTTTCAATGCCCTGGCTGAGGGAAGGAGGTGAAGTTGTCCTGTCCCTTTAGCAGAAAAACAACCCCAAAGCATAATGTTTCCACCTCCATGCTTGACGGTGGGGATGGTGTTCTTGGGGTCATAGGCAGCATTCCTCCTCCTCCAAACACGGCGAGTTGAGTTGATGCCAAAGAGCTCCATTTTGGTCTCATCTAAACACAACACTTCCACCCAGTTGTCCTCTGAATCATTCAGATGTCCATTGGCAAACTTCAGACCGGCATGTATATGTGCTTTCTTGAGCAGGGGGACCTTGCGGGCGCTGCAGGATTTCAGTCCTTCACGGCGTAGTGTGTTACCAATTGTTTTCTTGGTGACTATGGTCCCAGCTGCCTTGAGATCATTGACAAGATCCTCCCGTGTACTTATGGGCTGATTCCTCACCGTTCTCATGATCATTGCAACTCCACGAGGTGAGATCTTGCATAGAGCCCCAGGCCGAGGGAGATTGACAGTTATTTTGTGTTTCTTCCATTTGCGAATAATCGCACCAACTGTTGTCACCTTCTCACCAAGCTGCTTGGCAATAGTCTTGTAGCCCATTCCAGCCTTGTGTAGGTCTACAATCTTGTCCCTGACATCCTTGGAGAGCTCTTTGGTCTTGGCCATGGTGGAGAGTTTGGAATCTGATTGATTGCTTCTGTGGACAGTTGTCTTTTATACAGGTAACAAGCTGAGATTAGGAGCACTCCCTTTAAGAGTGTGCTCCTAATCTCAGCTCGTTACCTGTATAAAAGACACCTGGGAGCCAGAAATCTTTCTGATATTGTTGTTATTCTGTCTCTCACTGTTCGAATAAATCTACCATTAAAATTATAGACTGATCATTTCTTTGTCAGTGGGCAAACGTACAAAATCAGCAGGGGATCAAATACTTTTTTCCCTCACTGTACTGTGTTAAATCGAACCTGGATTTTGTGTTTGCTCATGATTTTGGAAATCTTTTTAGTGACCCCTCTTTAGTGGCAAGTTGATGGTTTTCATTCGGTCCTCAGATGGTTCTTTCCCAACGGCTTGTGTGGTCTGAATATCCATTCATCTTGAGAGCTTGATGTACGTGTTGCAGTTCACTGGCTAGTTGATGACGGTCGGAAATACGAGCTCTACGGTGTAGAGTTTTGATGAGGGAATTCTTCTGGGATGGATGGTGGTGGGAATCAGGTTTTAGGTAGGCATCCGTATGGGTGGCTTTCCTGTAGACAGTGTCCCATACAGCTTCAGAATGTGCACACGCAAAATTCTCCTTAAGCTCGGCAGGGCTGACGCGTGGCCACCACGAGCGTAACAGGTGTTATAGGCTTCTTGCCGGATTGCTGGGGTGGGCAACGGAGGGCAGTGCAGACAAGTCCATTGTCATGCTGTACTGCGGTTCAACGACCTATGCGTAATTCCTTAACCAACCCGCACTGACCAGCGTGCTGAGATGTGGCCGAGCAATCCCTGTGACGCGTATGGCGGAGGGAGGCTCTCATCCGGTAGCGGGTGGACACCGGGAGCTGTGTGAGGACACTCGCTGAAGGAGGGAAGCGATCCGGCTGCGTTGGCTGACCGTGAGATCCGGCTGTGTTGGCCAATCGTGTACCATTGAGTAGGAGGGTGAGGATCCGAGCAGAGAGGTGGCAGTACAGGAAGGTGGGGACACGAACCGGTTGTCCCTCCACGATGTGGGCTTCCTGCTCTCTCCTCTCGTGTACAGAGTCGGTGAGGTTGCAGTGTGCTGTGAGAAAGGGCAAATTCTTGTCACATGTTTTTCATTTCTCAGGCCACGGTACCCGGTGCCGAGTGTCATGCTGACTTTGTGGTTCTGACGAGGAAACGCGTTGGACCCGAGTTTTAAATCACCGGAGAACTTTGAATGGGCTCGAGCGACGACGCCGCAATTTGCGTGCTTCACCACGGACTTGGCGAATCCAAGTTCAATTCCCCAGTCACTGCTTACATCAGTGGCCAGTGATACCTCAACCATTCCTAGGGCTACCAC